CTGGACTTTCTGAGCTCCAACTGCTACAGTTGGCTGAGTTTCAGGCTCCATGTAGCTGGGATGTACCACATGGTTACCCCTCACCCCTATGGAGCTTCCAAAAGAGACCGTCCCTCAAAGCACAGCTCCTTCTCAGTGCAAATTATGGCCATCAGAGGTCAGTCATAGGTGTTAGGCAGGCATCTATGAAGCTGGGGATGATAGCACTGACTTCAGTGCTTGGATGAGAACCAAGAGAGAGTGTGTAGAAAAAGCACAGCCAGCCTCCCATAAAAGGACAGACTCCTGTGACAACTTTGTCGCTCTGTTCCTCCCTGATATTCTGGGGAGGTGGAGGCCAGTGGACAGTTCTGAAAGCTCAGCAGGTTTGGAGCCACTGGGTGTGGACTTCTCTCTCAGTGCTCCACCTGGGTGTCCACAGATGTTATTCAATGCACACTGGAACCCTGCACAGGTAAACAGGCTTTAGTGGTATGACTGCCAAAGGTCACACAGGATGGTTTGGCAGAGCTGGGATTAGAAGCCCAGCCTGTCTCTCTTCAGTAGTAATGGAGTCCTGGGTGGTTTATTAGGGTTTAGCCTCAATCTGTGGCAGGCAGAGTCCACAGCCCTGGGGAGTGACACCGTCAAGGTTCCCATGATTGGCCAGGACCTTTGTGGAGAGACACAGGAGACAAGACCCTGTTCTTCCAGGCCGGGAGGGGAGCCCCAGAGCTGGGCACCAGAATGCCCCACAGCCGGGCCACCTGCTTCGGATACGCACCATGCAGCAGCTGCCCCTGGCTGCCTCGAGAAAACTGACCTCTCTGGGAAGTGGACCCAGTGGCTCTGTGGGTGCCCTTTCCTGTAGCCTGGAGAGCAAAGCGGCTTTCCCTGGCACTGTGTGGCTCCTGTCCCAACTGGCCTTCCAATCCACGTTCCCTTTGCTGGACCAGCACCAGGACTGGGCACAGGGCTTCCTTTTGCTGATTCGTTTCCCCACTAATTCATTCAGAGTTGAGCCCCATCTGAGTCCCCACATGCTGGCCCTGAAACAGTTGCAAAAGCCGAAACCAGGGATGGCAGGCCCAGAATGAGTGCTGTGGCTGCTGGAGTTTCCTCTCTTACAGCGTGACAGCCACCTCCAGGTGCTCCCAGCATCTGTTGCAGTCATGGCAGCCTCACAGCAACCTCTGAAGAAGGAATTATGGAACCAACTTTTTATTGTTGAAAATGGAGTCTTGCAGAGTTCAGTGATGGGAAACTAAAGTGGAAAAAGCACATCACAAAGAAACATATATAGTACAATTTTGTAAAAATATCTGTTATATGTAAGCATAGGTATTTGTATATCTTAAGAAAAAAAGCCTAGAAATAAAGTCACCAAAATAATAGTGTATTTATCTGACTTGTGGGACTACGGTAATTTGAATTGTATTTTATTTTTTATATATCCCACTTTCCTCCAAAACTGCATTATTTTTTTTGAGAAGTGAAAGACATTTTTGAAAAAGGGGGTCAAGTGCCTATCTAGGGTTCCTTTCAAAAAGGGGGTCAAGCACTTGACCTGGATAGGCAGTTCCCCCATGCAAATTGCCACCCAAGACACCTGGTGGGTACAGACCTCTCTGAGCAGGACATGGGATCCCAGTGTCTGGGAACACAAGCAAAGTTTCACATCTACTGCCACAAGTGACACTTGCTAGGCCTTTAAAGGCTATAAGAATACACGTCCTGCCCTCTGAGGGATGCCATGTGTAGATTGTTTAGGAAAAAGCACAGCTCTGAAATAAATTCATCCCCTGCAGAACACATTTTGGTTTAATGGATGACATAGAAGTGGCTCAAAAATAAGCAAATTCGTTTGTAATAATACCAGCAGGTACCTGTTGTTAAGCATTTATAGGTCAGACATCCTAAAGATTTATGTACATATTTAATCTTTATAATAACTTTGGGAGGAAAGAACCAATATCATACTCTACAAAGGAGGAAGCAGAACCAGGATTCAAATCTATTTGGCACCAAAAATCTGCCTCTTGCTACACTGCCTCTATTCCTGTTTCTTTGGACCTTTTCCAGAACATGTTACTTCCCTGTCTCAGTTAGAAGTTAGTGACTACGAATCCCCTGCTGACTTGGCCTCAAGGCCAGTATTGCACTGCAAGGACCAAGACTGCTGGGTGTTCCTCCTTCGCCTGTTGTGTGTGTCCTCTCTTCCTGTCAACTGTCATTGGTTTCTCATTGCTGTCAGTAGATCTGAAATGACCACCACCGTCATCCTTCCAACCCTCATCTGGTGCAACAGGCCATGCCCTAAGCAAAGAAAAGGGAAATGGCAGTATCTGTGCTGCCTGGGCCACCCACTGCAAATGCACATGCTTGGCTCAGCAAACAGATAACTCAAGGATTAAACTCATGGGCTTTGTGTTCATTCACAATCGTTTCATTGCTCAAGGGATTTTTCTATTTTATTTCATTTGGTGACCATCTGGATGACAAAAGTTGCTGAAAGTCTGCTGGCCAACTAGGTAGACAAAGCCTTATATTTTTCCATTGTTCTGTATGAACCAGGAGGATCACAGCTCCTGTTGGTTCCTGCTGTGCACAGCTTGATTAATGGGTAAGGTGTATTCCATATCTACAAACCTTCAGGTAGTTTACAGACATTCTTGGTGCACACCTAACTATGCCAGATCATTGGCTGGGCACTAAAGATATAGGTGGAGTAAAAAATTACTTGTCAAAATAACTGGCTAATTTAAAATTTACAATTGCCTAGAAGACCATCTTTGATGTTAAGAAGGAACTGTTAAGTAAATACTAGGATAGCAAACAGGTTTCATAATTTCGTTTTGTTGAGACAACAGTTCTGCTCTTGTCGCCCAGGCTGAAATGCAATGGTGTGATCTCCGCTCACTGCAACCTCCATCTCCCAGGTTCAAGCAATTCTGCCTCAGCCTCCTGAGTAGCTGGGATTACAGGCATGCACCACCATGCTCAGGTAATCTGGTATTTTTAGTACAGACGGGGTTTCACCGTGTTGGCCAGGATGGTCTTGAACTCCTGACTTCAGGTGATCTGCCCACTTTGGCCTCCCAAAGTGCTGGGATTACAGGCGTGAGCCACTGTGCCTGGCCAGGTTCCATGTTATGTGCCAACTCTGCTTCGTGACAGCCACCGGTGCCCCACATTCAGGGTTATGAGGCTGCTTCTGGCTCACTGTGAGGAGTTGGTAGACAGATTCTTTGGCTGAAGGTTGTTTGGAAATCAAAAAGTGCAGATAGAAAATGGAGGCCCAGATAAGGAAGCCACCTACAAGGCAGGTCTCCTCACATCCAGGCCAGAGCTGAGATCCCTGTGCTGATAGGGAACTCACCAAGTTCCAGACAGCCTGGGGCCGCCCTTTGCATACATGGGAAGGCCTCTTCCTCTGCGCTTGCACACGGAGGCCCTCCCTGGTCCAGGTGGAGGGGCTGCTGTCCTGCAGCGTGGCGCCAGCCTCCACCCCTGCTGCCAGACCAGCTCTCCCCAGGCCCCTCTCTGGGGGTGCAGCATGTGAACTTCAGAGAGGCGCATCCTTGGGCACATGGGGAGGTGGAGCCACCCCGTCGGGCTGTGCCTGTGGATGGGGCGGACCCAGGATCTGCTTTTAATGACACGGTTTGGGCAGCTGGACTCTGTCTATTCCAGCAGGTAAATTACAGGCTTAGCAAGTCAGAAATCAAATAAACACTCCAACTCCCAGTGGCTGCTCCAAGGAGAACAGCGGTTTCTGGGAACAACAGAGGCTGAGACAAACCTCCCCACCCAACTCAGCCTAATTACTGCCTGTCACTCCCTGGGACAGGGACCTTTTCTTTGACACAGGACAGCGCTGGTGGGCACCCAGGGTGACACTGACTTTGGTAACCAGCCTGTTTTTGATGGCCCCTGGCCTTGCCCCAGACCTGACCACAGGCTGCCCATGTTGCCGATACATGCTCGGGCGGGGATAGACTGCTCCTCAGCATGGCAGAAGATGGCAACCAGGTTTCACTTTACATCATATCTGTTGGCAGTGGCTGTGCTGACCATTTGAAAATTCCATTCAGATTTGGAAGAAAAACATTCCAGATTGATTATTGATGTCTGCCATGCAGAGGGGAAAGGGAAATGATGGCATCTGTGCTGTGCATTGTCATCCTGGGCCACCCAATGCAGCCTCATGCTTGCTCAGCAAAGGGAAAACTCCACAGAGCTGAGCTCCTGATGAGGCAACTTGGTGGCAGATAGATGGGTCAATTGGAAGCCCCAAGATTTTTCTGTTTCTCTGAAACAAAATGTCCATGCACTTATATGGCTTTCGTAGATGGCAGAGGCAGATGCAAAGCAGGAAGACACAGGAAGATAAATGCCATTGGCTTTAGCCCTAAATAATGCTGTTCACTCAGCTTTTTCTTGAGTTGACTCCACATGCCTACCTGTGGCCAGTGGATCAGTGCTTCAGATCTATGAATATACAATACTTTAGGGGACGTCCAGTTTTAAACCCAGCCTTGCACCTCGGAGGGGCAGGCAATGGGGAGCCAATCAGACCCTGACTACACATACCACACCCTGTGATGGATGGTGAAGAGCTTGAGGTGGCCAACAGTGGGCTCCAGGTGCCTCTCAGGTCATTCCACATCTATCTCACGACCTGGGCCAGTAAGGGGCATGGATAGGACCTCAGACAGGACTTCTGTGCCAACCCTGAAGAACAGGCCAGGACATGCCTTCGGGGGAGGGGTTTGGGTAGAACACTGCCTGATGATTGAGACCACCTGCGCTGGAGACAGGACAGTCACACAAACGCCTGGCAGGGCAAGGGGAGCATAGGAGCCTGGCATGAAGGAGAAAGGGTCATGGACATGATTGTGAGGGTCCTCCCTGGCAATGCCCCGGCCTGGGGTCTGACTGGGTTTGAGGGTTTCCTGCTTCTGAGGGGCCCAATCTGGATGAGAAGGGCGGCTGCAGCAGGGCTGGGCAGGCGGGTGGGCTCAGTGACAGCCGCAGGCCTTGACCACCATGTTGCGGTGCTTGCGCAGGATGACATTGTTGCTGCTGTCATAGTAGAGCACAGAGGTGGCGCTTAGCTTGGTGGGCGCGCAGCACGCCTTGGGGACTGCATCTGGTGTCATCAGGTGCACCTGGCCAGGAAGGGGGCACAGGCAGGGACATGAGCCCAGTGACCTCCTCCAAGGACCCACCCATCCCTGCCCCAGCTCCACCTGCGCCCTGCCTTGGCCATCTCCAGGCCACATGGGAGCAGCACAATAATAATAACTATTAACAAGAATAAGAGCATCCCTGAGGGCTCCAGGAGTGGGAGCCATGGTGACCTGCAGTGGCCAGGGAGGACACATGGCAGGGGGTGTGGGGCAGGTGGGCAGGGCACTAATGAGGGGCCTCAAGTCCCAGGCCAAGGGCTCAGACTTCCTCCTGGGGATAATGGGATGGAGACCGCATGGCCAGGTTTGTGCCTTAGTGAGGTCCCAGAGGGGGAGCCTGGAAGGACCACTTTCTTCTTTTGGTCCTTCAGACACCCAGAGGCTCTGCCTCCCACATTCTGGCCTCCCTTCCCAGGCTCTGGGAGGCGAGGCCTCAGCCCCTCTCCTGTGCTGCTCCTTCTCCCAGAGGACTGCATCCGCCCTCAGCACTTCAAGGCCCTGCATGTGCCTGCACCTCTCCACTCCCCAGGCTCACTTGGACCTCTCTTCTGAACTCCAGACTTGCGGATCCTGCTCCCCTCCCCACTTCTGCACTTGGGGTCTAACGGGGCCTCAGCAGAACACAGAATTCCTCCTGCCCTGACATCATAGTCCCCGCCTGGGAGGCCTCCTGGATGACTCCTCTCGCCTTCTCCCTTCCCTGGGAGCAGCCCCTGGCTCAACCTCCACCTCCATGCTGCCTCGGACCACCTGCCCCGTCCAGCTGCCATCACCTGCCAGGTGACCACAGCAACCTTCACTCATCCCCAACTGCTCCACCTTCCACTGCCGCCCCCATCCCCCATCCCAGTCTCCCCCAGCAGCCAGAGAGAGGTCCTTCTGAAGGGTGACGTGGACCAGAACACTGCTTTGCTAAAGAGCTCCGACAGCCTATTGGGTTACTGGAAATAAAATCCACCTTCATTCGGACCCCCAGGCCCTAGGGGAGCTGGCCCTGCCCACCCTGGTGTCACCTCCCTCTGCCCTCCTCCTACTCACTGCACGCAGCCCCTCCTCCCTGCTGACCCTGAACCTGCCACGCTCACTCCTGTCTTAGGGCCTTGGAATTGCTCCTTCTGCTGGAACATTCCTCCTCCAGCTGCTAACTGGTCCCCTCCTTCTGTGGAGAGGCCAGGCCCAGTCTCTCTCCACTGATGAGGCAACCGCTCTGCTCTTTCTCACAGGAGGTGTCAGCTCCACGGTTGGTTTGGTTTGGACAAACCGACAAACTGACAGCCTTCCCTAGAGCGCAGCACCTGTTCACTGCCCAGCAGGTTGTGGGCACTCACTTTAGTTGAGCCCCTGAGCGGCAGGGGCAAGGGCAGAGAGGATGGAGTCCGGGAGCTGCAGGTGCAGTCACCTTCCCGTGCAGCTCCCACACATGCATAGAGGGTGGCTAGGCCGGGCTGCCCCACGCGTCCTCATCACCCCTGAGCCTTTCCAAGGAGGCAGTTCCAGGTGTCCAGCAAATGCCATTTGACCACCCAGAAAGGAATCATTATCATAGCCTTAGAGCTGCTTTAGGTAATTCCTTTTCTCTCACATCAAGGCATCGCCTTTGAACAACCTCCTGCGAGAAAAACGTAAGGCTGTGGAATACCAGGAACTGGGATTCTAGGTAAAAAGTTATAGAAGGAAGCCTCGGTGCCAGAATCCACAAACACACAGAGCACTCCGCGGTGAGCAGCACCAGTGATCCCATCAGAAGCCTGCTTTCATCATTGAAGGTTGCCCCAGACACCGAAGCATCAAAAGCCAGGGGATACAGAGAAAAACAAATGGCCAAGAGCAAAACTGGGGGAAAAGCCAAAGGTTGAGAGCCAAACCGTCCAGATGCTCCGTGCCTGCGGTGTGGCACAGGTGGGTGATAGCACACACACGTCCCACACACCGTGTGCACATATCGTGGGCGGCCAGACTTCCCAGCGTACTTAGGGGCCCGTGTGTGTTAAGATCACACAGTCCCCACACGGGCATGCATGTCCATTTCATGTGCTGTGCCTCTGACCGTAAGGAGCTGTGCCTCCGTCAGTCTGGGCACTGCATGCAGGTGCGTAAGTGTCCCACAGGAGCACGTGCAGTGCATAGAACAAGCACGTGTGCACAACTGTTCAGTGTCAGTGTGGGGTGTTTCTGTGTTCAGGTGTGAGTCTACATGTATTAGTGTGGCTGCGTGATGACAAGTTCCAGCAGAGCTGTGGGAATTTACCCATGTTACTGACTCCGTGCAGAGAAAGCCCCTTGAGATGTGGAGCAGGTGGCCTCACTGCCCTCCCAGCCGGCTGGACCAGACCCCTCTCCACGGAGACCCTCACCCCAGGGGGCTGGGCAGGATGGACATGGTACTGACCAGGGACTGCAGGATGGCGTGGTTGGTGGCGTTCATGCAGGAGCCCAGCGGGAAGGAGCACTCCCCCTCACAGTAATAGGCCGAGTAGCCTTGGGGGGCGATGACCCAGTCCTAGGGGACATGGGAGAAGGTGAGTCCCATCCATGTGCCCCTCCTGAGCCCCCATCCTGTCATTGGACTTGTCACAGGACAGCCCAGGGGTGCCCCTGAACCTCCCTGAGCCTCAGGGCCCAAACCCACCCTCGGTCCCTGCAAGGCAGTCTCCCCTAGGAGGTCTGAATCCACCTAGGAACCCCAGCAGACAGGGCTGGGTGGGAGCTCAGGCCTGACATCCCCCATCCTCGCTCTGCGTCCCCCTTCCCAGCCAGCCCTCTCCTGCCCGCACCTCCCAGAGCTGCAGTTGCAGCCGATGCAGGGAGGCACTGCCAGCCTGGCCTCAGTTTCCCTGCTGCAAAGCTGACAGCTTAGTTGCAGTCTTCGTTTTCATGGTTAAAAAATAAAATGCCCTTTCTCACCATATTCCCTCTTTAGAAAACTTGGAAAACACAGAAAAAAAATAAGGAAGAAAAACTGAAGTCACTCATGATTCTATGTCCTCCCTGCAGATTCACTTCTGATCTACAGGTGGTGATTGTCATTTCAGAAACAAGGAGAGTCAGCAATTACCAGCCAGCCAAGGTCCTGGAAGCTGACGTAGAGCTCGTGCCGACGGCAGACCTGCCGCCCGTGGGAGCCGTGGACGTCATCTGCAGGGACAGAAGGGCAAGGTCTTTTCTGGGGTTCCTGCTCTGTGCAGCTACTATGGGGTACCAGGGTGGGAGATGCCCTGATGAGCACGTTTGTCAAATGAATGACAGGAAACCATTTGGTCTCATAAAGCCCATCCCTGGAACTCTGCTTGTACCGTGACCCAGCTGAAGAGCCTGCCATGGCTCCCGACGGCTAGAGTGACACTGCTCAGCACTCCCCTGTCCTTCAGCCTGTGAGTGTCTTGACGCGCCAGTAAACAGCCCAGCAGGACCCTCGGCCATCCTGTGCCGCCTCCTCTCTAGAGACCCCTGTGACTCCAGTCCACCCTCTGCTGCCACACCCATTCCTCAGGTTCAAGTGGCTCATGACCAGGCCAGTCAGGGGCCGACTCCCTGGGAAGGAGGGCACAGGGTCGGGTCAGGCCTGTCCCTGATCCTGAAGGGCTTGGCCCAGTTGGGGAGAAAACTTCACATAAGCAGCCGAGGATGCTGCGGGGTGCCCAGGCACAACCGCGGGTCACGAGGGGCTGCGGCTCCCAGGGAAGGGGCAGCTCATTCTGATGGAAGCTCCTGGGAAAGACCTGGAGGAGCCAGGGGGAGAGAGGGGCCTTCTGGGTGGCAGGGACAGCCAGGACAGGCCTCTGGAGTGCCGGTCGCCAGGGTGCATCAGGGCAAAAGATGGGTTCAGGAAAGGTGGCTGGAGAGTGGCCGTCAGCTTGAACCGACCTGAGCCTGAGGGCTCTGGGCCACCACTTGGTTCTCACCCTGCCTCTCTCAACTGGAAGCCCGCAGGGCCTCGGCCCCACCCCGCCCAGCCCTCACCAAAGATCCCTGGGAGTCGGTTGGCCTGCGGCAGCTCGTTGGTTTTCTTCGGCTGCCTCCTCCTCAGTGGCCTCACTGCCCGAGGGGTGCGGATGGGACTCGGACTGGCCCTGAAGAAAGTAACCACGAAAGGCTGTCGGGAGCGCGGGGCCCGTTGACCCAGCAGGCCGGCCAGGCCAGGATCCACGCTGTGCCCTGCGACAGAAAGGAGAGAGGGGTCACTCGCGGGCAGTGGCCCTGCAGCGGACACAGCAGGGATCTCTCTGCCGGGGCCTGGGCAGGTCCAGGAGCGTGAAGGCTGAGGACCCGAGGGTCCCTGCTGAGCCTCAGTTTCCACATCTGAAGCCTGGAGTCCTTGGTCCAGCCCCAGCCAATCCACATCTCCTGGGGGCAGATCTGGAGGGTGGGAGGGGGGCCTTGGTGAGCTGCGGGCGGTGTTATTAGTGATAGCCGTGACACAGACACTTGTGAAGTGTTTTACAAGTTTAAAGATTTTTCCTATGGATCACCTCATTGGGTCCTTAGAGTAATCCTGCAGCTCCTTCTTCACAGGAGACGCAGAGTCCTACTGCCAGTGACTTCGAGAACCAGCGCTCCCACCTTGGTCAAAGGACCCCGAGGCCTGTGTTCTGTCTTCCATCCCGCACTTTCTGGGGTGTGAATGTCAAATTTATCACCGAGACAGTTGTGGCAGCATCTGCCAAGTTTAGTGAGTGCTTGTTCTGCTGGGCACAGCCCAAAAGCAGGGCATTAACTGTCTCCCTAATGCCCATAAGGGAAATGCCAGGCAAAGCATAGACATTGGAATCAAGTCCCAGAGCCCAGGTTTCAGCCTGCGGCAGTCCCATTCCAGACCCCAAGTTCTTATGCACGAGCTGGGTTTATGGACAGAAAAGAAAGAAAGAAAAGGCTGAAGCAGAGATCTGCCCTGGGCCTCAGCCCCAGGAGAAGTGAAGCCTGTAAACAGGGGATTGTCCCCCACAGCCGCTTCCAGACTGAGGATGCTGCTAAAAACATGATAACTAACCCTGGAGACACCAAGCCTCACCAATAAAACTGTGCATCCTCCTATACTTGTTTGGATTTCAATAACCTTTCTATTGTAAAAGCAATTAAGAAACTTTTGAGGCCAGGCAAGGTGGCTCACGCTTGTACTCCCAGCACTTTGGGAGGCCGAGGTGGGAGGATTGCTTGAACCTAGGCATTTGAGATCAGCCTGGGCAACATAGTGAGACCCTGGTTCAACAAAAAAATAAAAACAAAAATTAGCTGGGCATGGTGGTGAACTACCCGCAAGGCTGAGGTGGGAGGACTGCTTGAGCCTGGGAGGTTGAGGCTGCAGTGAGGTGTGATTGTGTCACCATACTCCAGCTGGGCGACAGAGTGAGCATCTGTTTCAAGAAAAAAAAAAAAAAACACAAAACTTTTTTCTGGTTGTTTAAAGAAGTCTCCACAATAAACATTTCAAATGTATAAAATCCCTTGGAGCAGTACACTGTAATTTACTTGATATTGGCTCATCATTAGACATGTAGGTTATTTCCTGGCTTTCATGATAAAGATGGAGTGCAATGGAGCCTCCTCGCTCCGTGCATGGGTGAAATTTCCTGATACTGAATTGCAGAAGCATGATTACCACCTCACTTTCATGTCTCTTTAAACAGTGCCAGTTGTTCATTTTATACGAGAGCACATTTCACCTCCACGTTATAAGCACAGATGTACACACGTATGTACACACATGCATATGTTTGTATAAACACACTGATGCACATACTCTTAGAAATTATACATACAGATGTATTTATTCCTATGTAGTTCTTCAGTACACCCTACAGGTCAAGGACACTGCCTGCCCCACCCTCAGTCCCACTCAAAGGTCAGCCCTTAAGCAGCTGTGCCTCAGCCCTGGTGTCCCTTGGCCACTTGATTGAACAACCAGTTAATCCAGAGACTAACCTTTGACGTGTGACATCATCTGCCACAAACAAATGCGCTGGCAGGAGAGCCTCCCTCCCTCTCAGGAGCGTGGACAAGAGCTGCTGAGACAGGGAGGCTGTGAGCTGCAGATGCTAACATGGAGAGGAGGCCCAGAGAGAATCCACTGGGCAGGGCTTGAGTCATGGTGAGTCAAGGTTATGGGGAAGCAGCAGAAATACAAGGAACAGAGCCAGGGCACAGAGGAAGAGGTAAGTGAGGTCACAATGGGGAGAGAACAGAGCAGCCTGAGTGGGCTGGTGACGGTAACCAGCCCGGGCACTGGAGTGTCACTCTGCGGACTGGCTGACACATGGGGACAACCTGGGGCCCAGGGCAGCCCTCCAGGCTGCATGTGCGGCTCTGTCCTGCGATTCCCTGGGGAGCCCTGGCAGCGTTGGGGCCAGAGGGGCCATCAGTCCTGCATGCTTTGCTCACTATTTGCTTCTGTGCAGCTGTGTTCAAGGGTCTTAGGGGGTCTCCCAGACACAGGATAGAATGTCGCATTAGATCAGTTACACCACAGACCCTCACAGAGCCCCTCTGAGCCAGGCCTGGCCTGGGTGCTGGGAACCCCTCTGTAGGCCTCACAGGCCAGGCAAGCCTGACTGGGGACTGCTGGAAGCAGATAATTCCAGTTCCCATTTTACAGAAGCAGAAACTAAGGCCCAGAGAGAGCAGCAATTGTATGTCCAAGATCCCAGACCAAGGTGGGTCGGAGCCAGGATTGTCATATAATTTTCCAGCAAACAGCAGGGCACAGTTGGGTATGGCTGGGCGAGATGGGGGTGGCGAAGGGGACTAAAAGCTGGTCTCAGTTCAGAGCCCTGCATCTGGCAGGCCTGGAGAAGCTCCCCCACCCCCAGCCCTCTCCTTCCAGAGCTCAGAGCCTCCCTTCTCCATCAGCTCTGCTTCTTTCCCACCCATTCTTGGGCAGGACTCTCTGGCTCCAGCTGGCTGCAAGGAAGGCCAGGCAGTCCAGGTGGGGGGCTCTCAGGCTGCCCAGCTGTGGGCAGACCCCTTCTAGAAAGGCAGAGGTGGAGGCCTAGAGGGTCACTTGTCTGCTTCTAGATACCTCGGCCTTTTCCACATTGCTTCTGGGAAACTCCTGACACCTAGGGCAAATCAGGTGCCCCTCTCCAGGAGCCCCAAAAGGCACCCCACTGCCCACTAGATGACATTTCATTTCAAGCCCCCACCCAGGCCATAGTCCCTGGCCCCTTTCCCACACCCCCAGGCTGTTCCCTCCATGAGTGCCAACTCTCCCTGCCCCGCTCTCCTTCCCAGGATCTGGCCTTTCCTGCAGGGCGGGGCTCCAATGGGCCCCTTGGAAAATCTGTCCTTGACCAGCGAGAACTTAACTGCTCTGACCACATTCCCCCATTGGCCTGGGAACCCCCAGAGCTACACTTACGCCGTGCATGCACCATGCCAGGCTTGGTTGTCAACAGCAAGCGCCCACACGTGCACACACACACACACACACACACACAATCTTTTCTTAATTTTAGTTTTTGAGACTATAGATTCAGGAGGAAATGCCTCACAGCCTCTTGGGTTACAACGGTTCATCACACAAGCGGCCAGTTTGGGCCTCCATCCCAGAGAGGAAGGCCTAAATGTCTGCTCTGGATGATGCAGGAACAATTCAAATGAAGTTGAGAAAACTCATCTAGTCCCTTGGTTAGGATTCTAGAACTCCTCCTGTCCTAGACTGTAGCCTTTGGCCACACACAGATAGAGGAAGCTTCCTGGTGGATTTCAGCACCCGCAGCCTCTCCCCTCTCAGTCTCTCCCATCACCCAGTCCCTTCCCTTGGAGATGGTCCTGCTTTCCTTCTAGAGACATCTAGAAGTTTGACATCTGATAGGTCCCAGGAGGAGAGAGGTGGGAGGAGGAGGGGAGGCTTCATGGAAACAAATTTTAACAAGAAAGGCCCCAGAAGAAATATCAGCGAAATTCTGTCTAAAAAAGAAAAAAAAAAATTACAGTAAGCTAAGGTTAATTGGTCCAACTCAGTGGCTCATGTCTGTAATCCCAGCACTTTGGGAGGCTGAGGCAGGTGGATCACTTGAGCTCAGGAGTTCGAGACCAGCCTGAGCAACATGGTGAAACTCCATTTCTACAAAATAAATAAACAAACAAACAAAATAATCAGGCATTGTGATGTGTGCCTGTAGTCCCAGTTACTCAGGAGGCTGAGTTGGGAGGATTGCTTGAGCCCAGGTGGCAGACGTTGCAGTGAGATCACACCACTGCACTCCAGCCTGAGAGCCAGATCCCGTCTCAAAAGAAAAAAAAAAAAGAAAAGAAAAGAAAAAAAAGAACAAAGAAAAAAAAAAAAAACAAGCTTGTGAAGACAGCATGTCTTCCAATCACAAACTCACATCTTTGCTCGCCTATTTCTCACTGCAGTAGTAAAATGGCTCTTTAGGTGTACTCTGGGTGGAGTGATTTTCTCCCTCATCAGTTTTTATCTCCATTTCATGGTTCGAGTACCAGGGAGGCGCTTGAATGAAATCCTACTGTTTATGCGCTCGCACTGTGCACGCTCTGTGTAAACATCACAGAGCAAAGCGGACACCGATTCCTCACCACTGCACACCTGCGCCTTGCAGTGCTCGAGGAACACAGTAAGGAGCTGATCTGTTTTCCTGTTGTTTTTAATTAAAGTCGCAGCTCTCTGGAGGAGCACAGTCCACCTAGGGAGGAAAGTTGGAGGCCAGCAGCAAACGCCTCCCAGCGCTGGGTAAATGCATTCCTGCGGTAACCGACGTCCCCTGAGGAACCCGGTGGGACTCCCTGAGGAGTGCACCCCCCCCCCCAGATCCGGGTCCCATCAGGGTGCCACCTGCTGCATGGGCCTGAGGTTCGGGCACACAGCAAAGGCACACCCCGTGCTCTTTTTGACGTCGTCCACGGTCAGGCCTTCCCAGAGCTCCGTCAGCGTCAATCCTCTCTTCCTGTGCACGTCAAACACGGCCTTCTCGGTGATGATGCGGTCCACGCACTGCTTCCCAGTCAGTGGCATGGTGCATTTCTCCATGATCTTAGGGATGTTGTCCTTTGTGCAGTGCTCCATGGTGACCACCACTCTGGTCTTCGGACTGGACACCAAGTGCATGGCACCGCCCATGCCTTTCACCTTCTTGCCAGGGATCATCCAGTTCGCCAGGTCGCCGTATCTGGAAACCTGCATGGCTCCGAGCATGGTTAGGTGGAGGTGTCCCCCTCGGATCATGGCGAAGGAGTCGTCGCTGGCGAAGAAGCAGCCCCCGGGAAGCACCGTGACGGTCTGTTTGCCTGCATTGATGACGTCGGCATCCACCTCCTCTTCCGTGGGAAACGGGCCCAGGCCCAGGATCCCGTTCTCGCTGTGAAGATGCACGGTCATGCTGGGGCTGATGAAGTTGCTGGCCAGCAGAGGGATGCCTATGCCCAGATTGGCGTACATGCCGTCCTCAAATTCCAGAGCTGCGCGTCTGATGATGCGCGTCCTGGCGTCCTCTTTGTTTTCGGCGTCTCCATCTTCCTCTTTCCGGATCGTCAAGCGCTCAATTCGTTTCTCGTATTTCTGCCCCTTTATCACACGATCTACATAAATGTTTGGAACGTGGATGTCTTCTGGAGGGAAAGTCCCCACGTCCACGATCTCTTCCACCTCCACCGCCGTGACGTCTGCAGCTTTGCACATGGGCACGTTGAAATTGCGGGCGCTCCCGCTGAAGACCACGTTTCCTGCCCGGTCGGCCTTCCACCCTTTCACCAGGGCGAAGTCCGCCCGGATGGCGCGCTCCAAAAGGAAGTGGTCGCCTTGGAACTCCCTCACCTCTCGGGGCTGGCTCATGATAGCCCGGTGGCCGTCTGGGGTGTAGCGGATGGGGGCGCCCCCTTCCTGGACCAGGGTCCCGTAGCCCGTGGGGGTGTAGAAGGCGGGTACCCCGGCGCCCCCCGCGCGGATGCGCTCAGCCAGGGTGCCCTGGGGTGTGAGCTCCAGCTCCAGCTCTCCTGCCAGGTACTGGCTCTCGCACAGCGTGTTCTCACCCACGTAGGAACAGACGATGCGGCGGATCTGCTTGGAGGCCATCAGGAGGCCCAGGCCGAAGTCCTCCACGCCCACGTTGCTGCTGACCACCTGCAAGTCCTTCACGCCGGTCCTGAGCAGCGCGGCGATCAGGTTCTCGGGGATCCCGCAGAGCCCGAAGGCCCCGACCGTGATGGTCGCCCCGTCAGAGATGTCCTTCACCATCTCCACCGGGTCCGTGTAGAACTTGGCGCGGGGCCGGGGACTGGTGGCAAAGCGGCGGGCGCAGCCCTGGGACAGCGCGAGCCCTGAGCCGCGGGCGGGGACCCCGCGCCCGAGCGCCGACGCCAGGAGCCGCAGCGCCGCCATGGTTGGCCCGGGTCAGAGGCCAGGAGAGGCGGTGTGCGCCCCGCGTGCGCCCCGGGGCCCGCGTCACAGAGCAGGGAGGGCGCCCGCGCCCTGACGCACTCCCGCCCAGCAGGTCTCCCCCGCCAGGCGCAGGCTCTAGGCCAGGCCCGCGACCCACCACAGGGAGGGGGCCGCTCCCCCTCTCCGCCCTGGGCTGGGGGCCCCCGTGTCAGTCCTCCGTGTCCAGCGCACAGGCCCCGGGCGCAGGACAGAGTTGAGGTCAAGCTCCGCGTGGAGGGCACCAGCCTGATCCCCTTCTGCCCCAGTGGAGCCTCAGGCACAAACTCCAACCGCCCCGCCCAAGCTTCCCCCAGCTTCCCCAGCTCATTAGAGACAGCAAATATCTAATGAGCAGGCGCTGCTGGGTGACACCGACGGTCATGACCACCCTCACTGGGCATCACTCTGTGCCAAGCACCCTCCTTTAATCCTGTGACAACACGGAGAGTGAGTGCCCCCCCCACTACAGTCCCCCAGAGCTCAGGTTCACCCCTCACTGTGAGAGTGGGGACACTATCCCTCACCTTCATCAGGAAGGGTCCCCGCTCTGAAGAGGCTCCAGCCTTGTCCTCTGCATCCCCCTGCCCTCTCCACCTCCCCCACTCCAGCTCCCTGCTCCAACTTGTGAGGAATTTTGCAGTTTTCTTCCCTCTGCACAGAATCACTCCATCACCACAGCAGGGTGCAGGCGTCTCCTCACCTGTAAAGGACCTGCCTTGTCCTGGGTTCTCTCCAGCGCCAGCCCATGTCTCTGCTCCCCTTCCCAAGCAAAGGTTCTGGAAAGAGCTGTCTCCTGCCTCCACTGCCTGTCTCCCTCCACCTCCTCAGTCAGACCCACACTCCACGGAGATTTGGGCCATCAGCAACCTCTGTGATGGCAAAACAGTCGGTCACTTCTCTGTTCTTGCCTTCAGTGCCCACAGCTGGACACAAACGACAAACCCTTGCTTCTGGAAACATTTGACTCTGGCATCTTGGTCACCTCGTCCTCCAGGTGTGCTGCTCCCTCCCTGGCTGGTCTCTGTGGGCTCGCTGTGGCCCCTCCTTGTGAGGTCTCTGGATGTTGGAGGTCCCAGCGCTCTGGGCCAGGCCCTCTTTCTTCTCCATCACTACCTCCTTCCCCAGATGATCTGGTCCCACCCCATGCTTTAAATCCACTTACATGCCAGCACTTCCCTCGCCTGGGTCTTCACGCTCACCTGTCCCTGGAATGGCATTTCCATGAGGACCAGTGAGCTCAGTAACATCCCAGGGGGCTCAGTGATATTCCAGCCAAAAAAGAACCCTTGGCCACACACCTCAAATGTGCCCTTCATCTATCTTTCCCCAAAAAGAGAAATCTATTGGAAAAAATCCACTGGTTCCATCCACACATCATTCAGGCTTCCTCCCGTTCCCTCACCTCCTCGCTAGCTATACGCATGTCCTGACACTGAAATCCACTCATCTTTCTCCATCTCCACTGCTACCAACAGGCCGCTCACAGCACCCACCTGCACCACTGTGGGACCCCCACGAGTCTCTGTGACTTCACTCTTGTCCCTCTCAGTCTGCTCTCCCCACTGAAGTCAGGGGGTTCCTTATTTTATGCATATATTCAGTAAAGTTTTAATTTTACAACAGTTGATAGTTACATAAAAATTTGCAAAGATAGTACAGAGGCTGAGGTGGGAGGATCGCCGGAGCCCAGGAGTTGGAGGTTACCGTGAGCTGCAATTGCGCCACTGCACTCCACCCTGAGCAACAGAGCCAAACTCTGGGAAAAAAACCACACAAGGAGTTCCCATATACCTGGACCCAGTTTCCCCTGGGAAATGTTAATATTTTACACTAGTAGGGTACCTTTCTCATAACTAATGGACCAGTACTGATATCTTATTATTAAGTAAACACCATGATTGATCTGGATTTCCTAACTTTCCCCTAATGCCCTTTTGCTGGTCCAGGATTCCACCCAGGACCCCACATGCACTGAGCTGGTCGTCTTA